CGTGGAACTGTGAGGTTTGGTAAAGCTTGACGAGCAGGGGAGGATAAGGGTGAATATAAGGACGAGCAGCAGGCGAGGGCGAGGATGAAGCAGCAGGCGAGGATGCAGGTCACAATGAGGATACCGCACATCGAGATCCTCCCCACTCCTGGGGGACAGGCGCCACATCGAGCCCCTCACCGCCCCCCACCCACCACACTCTCTACCCGCAGAGGGGGGGGGGACCAGCCCCAAATCGAGGCCCTCACCCCCCCACCACGCCCATCAGGGGAGTGGAGGTCCGGCGCTTCTTCGAGCCCACCGCCACCCTCCCGCAGAGCGACCCCCTCACCGCCCTCGCCCTCCTCCACTGCCCGCAAACCCATCAAGGGGGGAGGGGGGGACACCATGGGACGGGGGGGGGCCCAGACCCTCGATCAGGTATGCATACACGTCGGTCGGAAGAAGTAGGTAGAGGCATGAAGTAGGAAGGCGGATGTAGTGGATTGGGTCATGGTCCTCCCAGAGAATAACAAAACACAGCAAAAGCATGCCGATTCTTGAAGTAGGAAGGCGCTTGAGTAGATTGGGATCCAGGAATCCAAAAATACCTACTTTCAACGACTGGCGTGTATGTATACTTGTATCGGGGGTCCCAAAAAACAACACATCTACACACACGCACAAACCGTGTTGCAACACACCAAATCAGGACACCCGCAGGACCCGTACACGATTTGGCGGCGCGCCCAAGGAGGTAGGGAGAGGGGGGAAGGCTTCTGAGATGGAGGCTGCTTCGCATAAGGCGCCAGCCTTGTATCTATAAAGAAAGCACACGCCTTCTAAGAAGCAGAGGTGCTAATAAGAAACCTTCCCCTCTCCCCCTACCTCCCTCTTCACGTGGCTGACCGATAACGCGCAACAGACGGCCGTGTTGCATGGGGAAGCTTAAATTCGGGGAGACGTAAGACTCGGGTATGGGGCACTCGGATTGGCCTGACGGGGCCACAAGGAAAATGACGAGACCCACTCTGAAATTTGACGCGAGCCCCCGCTGCAGACATCCCCCGAAAACTGGGACCGTCAGAAACCGGGACGCGCTCGCCAAAAAACGTCGGCGAACCCGAGCTCCGGAGCCCTCGAGTCCTGCGCCTCCCCGATCGATTCTGTGAATTTCCGATGCCGCCCGCCAGGCCGGCAGGCCGCTACGACCGCAACGCTCGCCGACTCGGCCACCAAGAGAGCGCCAGCTCCCGGACGCGGGCGGCCCAGACGCGGCACGAGCCTCGGGCCCGAGAGGCCACCCGGCGCCGCCCAGGCGGTCCGTGGCCCCAGGCCCCGGGGGCGCCGGCCGCTGGCGGAGAGCGAGGCGGGGCAGCGCGGAGGAGAGGGCCTCCTCGGGAGGCGGCGGGACTCCTCCGAAGCCCCCTCGCGCCTCCCGAGCAACTTGCCGTGTCTTCCTGGGAGGCTCAGAGAACCTCTCGGAAGGCCCGGGGGCTTCCGAGCCTTCTGCGAAGGCCCACGCCTTCTCACTGCCCCCCTCGCTCGCCGCCTCGGGTAACAACCAAAAACATACACACACAAACTTCTTGAGGTCCGCGCAGAATTCCTGGACCGGCGTTGGAACCCTCTCCCTGGCGCGCTCCGCGCGCCAGGAGCATCCCCGGAAGCGCCGCCACCCGTACAAGCAATCCGCGCAGAGCTCCGAAAGTTCGTGTGCACGCATGCGAGAAAGACAATTCTCGTGTTGGGAGGAAGGGGCTGGGAAGGTACAAAGATGATACAAGGCACGACTGTGATACGCGAGAATACGGATGCTCTCATCATTCCTCCCGACCCCATCCTCCCAACCCGATGCTCGCCAGTCGCAAGACGTAGGCGGAAACATGAAGAAGGAAGGCGTATCAAGTGGATTGAGTTCGGGCCCGCCCCCCAAAACAAAAAAACAGCAACACATACCAACTCTTGAAGCAGGAAGGCGCTTGATATAGAAGGGATCTGGGAATCTTGAAAACCTACTTTCAACGACCAGCGTCTGCGGTCGAACCTAGGACAGAAAAACATCCTTCAAGAACATGGGACTCTCCGCTGGCCAAAACAATCCAAACCACAAGATCACTCAAGGGTGCCCTCCCCCAGGATGCACAAGAAGAACATCCAACAAGCACGACAAATATTTGGGTACCCTCCCGTACCTCGGTCCTCTGCGTCCAAGTTCGAACATCGATCTTCCATCGAACCCCAGAGGTCTGGACCCCTTCCCCGCAACAGGTGTCTCATCCTGAGTCGTTTTTGGGCGGTCCCGAGGCCTGGCAAACGGCCCCCGGAAGTTGGCAACAACGAAGAACCTCCCATCGTGATTTCTCTACAACGAGCGAGCGAGCGAGCGTAAGCCTTGCGCCGGGCGGCGCGCGAGCAGGGGGGGAAACACGAGAACATCAGTGCAGGACTCCAGCTCCAGACCTCCAGCCCTAGAACTCCAGCTCCAGAACTCCAGCTCCAGATTCCTGGGCGTCGCTCGCCACAAGGACCTACGCGAGGGTAAGTCCGACCGTAATTGTCTTGTTGAATCTGCCGCTCCTTGTTCTTCTTCGAACTTTTGCCTGGGTGCGCCCCGACCAGCACTCCGAGGCGAGTCCAGCGGTGGCGACGAGGGCCTCCCAGGAGGCGCAAACGGCCCAAGGTGGAGGGAAGGGTAGTGTCAGGGGGACGTAAGACCTGGGTACAGGGGACTCGGAAATCCCCGACGAGGTCGTCAAAAAAATGACGAGGCCGAGCCTGCATTTTGACGATCTGAGGCGCGGTCGTCAAAAAACGATGGCGAACCCGAGTCCTGGCAAACCCGGGTCTTACGCTCCCCCGATAGTGGTATGGGCACCTACCTTCAACGACCGGCGCGTTCTTGTCTTTCTGAATGCAGTGGGGGCCAGTCCACAAGAGACCCAACCCTGAGACCCCAGGATGCCCGCTGATTCTTGGTGTGGGAGCGCCACGCTGCTTCCGTCGCGAAGCCATCGAAACCCCAGGCACCCAGGGCACCCCGGAGGCAAGAGCAGGGTGGCTCTTGGCGTGGGCCTCCACTGTATGCTTAGGTCGGGCGTGTCCCCCTACAGGGGGATTTTCGACGAAAAACCAAAAGTACACCAGAAATGCAACAAAAAGGTCAAAAAATGCTCAAAAAAGAATCCCCAGACTATTTCTGTACTATGTTTGATGATTTGTGGGGCATTTCTTATTTTTCGTCGAAGATCCCCCTGTAGGGAAACACGCCCGACTTAACTGTATGCCTTCGTCCTTGGCTCCTCGAGCAGCCTCGGCGCCCCGCGGCGCCGGGGCCGCGCCCCGCTGCAGAGGCCCCTCCCCCCGCGGGCGGCCGCCTCGGCCCTCCGCTGCCCTCGGGCGCCCCCGGAGCCTGCGGTCAAGTCGGGCCTGTCCCCCTATACAGGTGGATTTTCGACGAGAAATAAGAAATACCCCAAAAAGATGCAAACAATAATCAAAAAATAGTCTGGGGACTACTTTTTGAATATTTGTTTGATCTTTTTTGGGGTATTTTTGGGGTATAGTTTTAATTTTCCGTCGAAGGTCCAATGACACATTTAAAAATAATCCCCGAACTTATTTTTGCGATTTCTTGACTACTTTTTTTTGTTTTTTTCATCTTTCGCCGAGGATCCCCCTGTAGGGGGACAGGCCCGACAGGAGCCTACGGGCTCCGCGCCATGGCCTCGGCCTCGGAGCCCTCGGCGCCCTCGGAGCCCTCGGCGCGCGCACCCCGGGCGCGCGCGTGCGGCCACCTGCGGGCCCCCCAGCGAGGTACGCCACGGCCACCTCCCAATTCCCCCTCCTTCCGCTGCCCTCCTCCTCCTCCTCCTCCTCCTCCTCCTCCTCCTCCTCCTCCTCCTCCTCCCCCTCCTACCCCTCCTCCTTCTTCTCCTCCTCCTCCTCCTCCTCCAAAAGAGGAGTGGATGAAGTGGAGGAGGAGGAGAAGGAGGAGGAGGAGGAAGAGGGGATGATGGAGGTGGTGGTGTGTATATTATATCTCTCTATACATATGTACATATATATATACAAGAGTTGCAGCTCGCTGCGATTAGCTTGGAGGTCTTGGCACGGTGCATTCGCGTGAGGCGTGCGAGTGGCGTGCGCCTCTGCGGGCTGAAGCGTCGGCGATGGCCAGGTGTATATATCTTGTAAACATACAAGAATACAGCTAGAACTATATGTCGCCGCGCCGTTTGTCCTCGACGCGCCAACATGGACGACGCCGTCACCACGGCAAACCCCCGACAAGCCGTGCGCCCAAGGCGGCATTTGCCCTGGTGCCTGAGGCGCCTTCCCCAAGACGCACGGCCGCGCGTCCGAACAAACGGCGCGCACGGCCGGACCTTTGACAGAATACGATCCTTCAAGAACCTGAAACCCTCCGCAGGCCAAAACACCCCAAACCACAAGATCACTCGAGGGTGCCCTCATGCACAAGAACGTCCAACAAGCACGAAGAACATGTGGGTACCCTCCCCGCACCGACCTCGATCTTCTACCTATAGGTCCTCCGCGTCCAAGTTCGAAGATCGACCTTCCATCGAACCCCAGAGGTCTGGACCCCTTCCCCGCAACAGGCGTCTCATCCTGAGCCCAGTAGGGGTCCCCCGGAGGGGCCGAACACAGCGAAGAACCTCCTGGCCCGACCGTGTCTCCCAGCGATCCGACGCCGTGCTGTTCTCAATCTACGGGGCCCCCGCAAGTCCCGACCCCTTCCCCGGGACCGGCTTTGCACTCTGGGCCGCTTTGTTGACGGCGGTCCAGAGGCCCGGCGAGGGCCCCCCAGAGGCCCCCAAATGAGGAAACACTTCCCGCCGTGATTTTTGTTCATGGCTCGAGGGGGGGGGTCTGGGTATGTGTTGCGGCCCCGCGCCACCGGCGCAAGGCGGCCGCGGGCACGGCCACGAGCGCCAGGAGGAGCGCCGCGGCCGCCGCGGCGGCGGGCGCCGCCCCGCCCCGCGGCGGGCCGGCGGGGCCGCCGGCGGCGGCGCCGAACTTGCGGGCGACGGAGGCGGCGTCGAGCCCGTCGCGGCCCTGGAGGGCTGCGGCCTCGGAGGCGCGAGGGCGGGGGGGGGGGCTGCGAGTGATGGGAAGCCTGGAGCTCCTACGAAAATCGGGCCGGGCGGAAGGGGGGGATAGCAAAGGGGGGGTTTGAGAATCAGCTCGCGTAGCTGATTTTCCCAGCGCCTCCCGGCGCCGAAGGCGGCCATGTATCGAGGAATGGGCCCCTCGGTGAGGCCGAAACCAGCTGCATGAGGCAAATTTCGTAACCCCACCTTTCCCAATCCCCCCCTTTCGTCTGGCCCGAGAAAAGCCATCATGCCTGTTGTGTCGTGATTCCAGGCTTCCCGGAATTCCGACTTATGGGAAGCCCATGGCCGGACGGCGGCCAGAAGGGGGGGGGACCCTGCTCTTCCGCAGTTGTTTTTGTTGTCTTTTGATCTCCAGAGCCATAGAGGCCTCCATGGACTGCCTAATCAAACCTGGACATGGATTGAGACGTCAGGTCCTGCTGATATTTTGGAACCCTCCTGGAAGGTCAGGGGGCCCTCCAGTGCTAAAAAAACCTGATCGGACAAGAACGGGAAGCTCCGATTCTGCCCATTGGGCTCGTAGGGGGGGGAGTAGAAGATAACGATGGCGACGACAAGGCGGCGGATGACGAGAATGACAGCGTGGATGACAGGGAGGGCAGCGAGTTGGGGGGGGGGACCCTGACCTTCCTGAGTGCTGGAAAATCCGCCTCTGCGACTCTGGGCATGGAATGGGCGTGCCCTCAAGTCCTCTGCCTAACCCCTGGAGTCTCAGTCCTCAAGGGGCCCGGACCCGAAATTGAGGAGTCTTCCAGGGGCCCGGACCCGGAATTGCCAAATTTGGCGAGGCTTGCAGCGTGCCCTCTGGGCCCTCCCGCGGCTTCCCGCATAACGCTTTCAGGCCAGAGAGGGCCCGCTGATGGGCCAAGAGGGCCACACGGGGCTCCCAAGACGGTCCAACAGGCCCCGAGTCGCCGAAAGAGCGTTCCAAGACGCCCATGACGGACTCAAGATGGTCCAAGAGGCCCACAGAACGCCTCAAAGGTCTCCAAGAGGGCCCCCAAGAGGCAATAATCATTGATCTGCCTTGGGGTGTTTGAAAGATTTGGGCGGTCTTGCCTTGTCGACTTGCTGACGCTCCAAGAGGACCCACGAGGCCCCCCAAAACCATCCCGAAACGGCCCAGTAGGCTTCCAAGAGGGCCCGAAGATGGCATAAGAGCGCCGCAAGACGGCCCAAGAGGCGCCCCAAGCAGCCCAAGGCGTCCCCAAGACATCCCGAAAGGAGCAAACGAGAGGGAAGACCCGGTAATCCTAGCCTTCCGCCCCAATAGGCCTCCAGGAGGCCCCAAGAGGCGCCCAGGAGACTCGAAGAGGCCTCCAAGAGGCCCCCAATAGGCTCCAAGAGGCTCCCCAGAGGCCGACAAGAGGCTCCAACCCAGCCTTCAAGAGATCTACAAACTGACTCCAAGAGGCCTCTGGGAGGCCTCCCTCGAGATCCCAGCGAACATCCAATGAGCTTCACACCCACAACCCAGGCACGGTGTCGGGATGGGCCTAAGGCCATTCGATCCGCCGCCCTTTGTTGGCTTGCCACAGGGGTGCCTGGCGCGATGAATCCCATGCGGCTTGGTATTGGTTCTTTTTGCAAAAGATCTCCCCCTGGGGTTCGGCCTAGCGCGCCAGCCACCTGGAAACTGTACACGTCAATGCTTTTCTTGCCCGAGATGGTCCAAAATGTATTCCAAGGTGCCTCCCAGAGGGTCGAGATGGCCCAAGATTGCCTCCAAGACGCCTCCAATAAAGCCAAGATGGCGCCAAGAGATCCCAAGATGGCCCCCAGATGCGAAGGAACGCGTTTCACGGGCGCTTGCCTTGGGAACATGTGGTGGCGCGTTTCGAACCCGGGGGTGCCCCCCCCCCCAACACTCGGCGCCGTCGATCCAAACCAGGGGGACTCCCCTCCCCCACCAACACCCCCTCCCCCCCCGACCCCCCCCCCCCTCTCACAAGGGGGGGAGGGATTTCTTCAACACCCCCCCTCCCCCAGCGCCGGTGCCGGCGCTGGCGGCGGCCAGCAGCGCCGACGGCGGGAACGCAGCGACGATGACCAGAGGCAGGCCAAGGGGGGGGGGTTAAACCCCCCCTCCCCCCCGGGCGTCCCCGGGCTCCCCTCCAAGCGACCACAGAACGCGCGTTTTCCCAGATGCGCACGAGACGGCCGAAGATGGCTTCAAGATGGCCCACGAGGACCCCAGAGATGCCCAAGAGGGTTCCAAGATGGCCCAAGAGGCCTCCGAGACGTTCTCCTGGAAGGCCCGAAGAAGCCAACATCACTGATTTGTCGGAGGTTTTGCCGGATGTTGGCATTTCTGCTGTGTCGGTTCTTCGACGGCCCGAGACGGCCCAACAGACCCCTGAGATCGGCCCAACATCGCCCAAGAAGCCTCCAAGATGGCCCCATGACGGAACCCAGAGGCCCCAAGGAAGCCTCAAGAGGGCTCCGAGATGGCACAAGCGGTCTCCAAGACACCCAAGATGGCATGCAAGACGGCTTCCAACGACGTCCGACTGGCCAGGAACGCTCCAATACGACCAAAGAAGCTCGCAGGAAGCTCCCAAAAAGTTCCACGAAGCCCAAGGAGGTCGCCAACGGCTTCCAAAGACGGCCAGATCTACAGCCGCTGGGGCCTCCAATACACTCAGAATCCTCTTCCAGGACGGCCCTGAAGCGCCCCAAGAAGACCCCAAGTCGGCTCAGAGAGAACCCCATGGACGGCTTCCGACGACGTCAGACGAGCCACGAACGCCCTACGACGGCCAAGGAGGCCCTCAAAGAGCCACAAAGGAGACCACACCTCGTACTAGCACTACTGCTACAAGAACCCCAGTGGGTGGATGACGGAACACGTCGCAACAAAAAAGGTTCGCGCGTAAGATTACGTACGTGTCGCAATGGGTGCGTGCCATGGCACGTCACAGAGGGTGCGCGTGTATGGCGTGTGAGATTGATGCAACTACTCGCTATAATCAGAGGTAGCTCAAGAGGCTCCAAGGAGGCCTCCTTCTCCTCTTGCACATTCTCCTCCCCATCGCCCTCCTAATCAACATCATCCTCCCTCTCCTGCTCCTCCGCCCCATGTTCCTCGAAGTGTTCCCCGAAAGGTTTCCACAGCGGCTCGGGAAACAACTGGTCCGATAACAGATCCAAGCTCTGGACCCAAACGTTTGGCCACAGAGACGCTTTTCAACATGGGGTGGCGGTGATTTGCCGTAGGCGTCTTCGATATAGCCCTCCAGACCTATAGACCTATCTGGACTGCCTAAACCTTCGACAAAAATTTATTTAGACGTCAAGGTCCTGGTGTTATTTTTTAGCCCCCCTGGAAGGTCAGGGGAGGGGAGGGGGGAAGAGGCGAACGGGGGGGCAGATGGAGAGGAGGGGGGTGGGCAGAGTCGAATGGATGAGGGCGATGGGAACGGAGGGGTGGGGGGAAGAGCAGGGGGGAGAGGGAGGGGGTGGGGGTGGAACAGGGCGTGGGCGAAAAGGGTGTGGGAGGACAGGGCAGGAGATGGAGGAGAAGGGGTGATGCAAGAAGGGAAGGGGAGGAGGAGGTGAAGCAAGGGCGCCCAAGGAGGACGACGCGGCCCGACCCGCGGCCGCCCCGTCCGGGGACTTCGCGGCGCGGCGGAGGCCATCCGCTCCCGCGCCGAGCCACCCGGGCGGTGGCGCTGCGACCTGCCCCGCAGGCGCGCGAGGGGCAGGGCCAGAAGAGGGCGCCCTGCGCCGCCCCGCACGCGCGCCCCCCCCGGCACCGCGCCCGCCCGCGCGAGCGCCGCCGGCGGCGGGGGCCGGCCCGGGCCAGGCGGACCGTGCGAGGCCCGGCGGGCGCCCCCGCCGCGTCTGAGCCTGCGGCCTCGGCGCGGCGCGCTCGCGCGCCGCCGAGCAATGGACAACGTGTTCTTTTTTGTTCTCCGCCGCGGCGCGGCAGGGGCGATCCGCTCGCGCGTCGATGGGGGGCCGCATGCGAACCCTGCCCTATACCCCCCCACGAAGTCCTGAGGGGGAGGGTGGCGTGCCCTTCGCTCGGGAGCTCCCGAGCGAAGCGAACCCCCCCCTCCCCCTCAGAACTCGTGGGGGGCAGGGGCAGGGTTCGCATGCAGCCCCCTATGATGGGCGTGTTTTCCACCACCACCACCATAAGTTGGAGGGGGAGGAGGAGGAGGAGGAGGAGGAGGAGGAGGAGGAGGAGGAGGAGGAGGAGGAGGAGGAGGACCTCTCCCCTCCAACGTATGGTGGTGGTGGTGGAAAACAAGCCAATCACCCTAGTCGAGCCACCCCCGGGCTGCGGCGCTGCGGAGGGGCCCCGCGTGCAGGGCGGGGGGAGGCCCGAAGAGAGAGGGCGGCCGCGCAGCGGGGCACGGTCCTCGCGGCCTGGTCTGGGCGCCCGCGGGAGGCCTGCCTCGCCCGCCGGGGCCGCCCGCGGAACATGGCGGTCTCCAGCGGTCCCTGGACGTCGAGCCGCAGGAGCAGAAGCAGTGCACACAGAGCAGCTTTTCACGCAGAAGCAGTGCATACATAGGAGAGGCGATCTCCAGCGGTCCCTGGACGTCGAGCCGCAGGAGCAGAAGCAGTGCACACAGAGCAGCTTTTCACGCAGAAGCAGTGCATACATAGGAGAGGCGATCTCCAGCGGTCCCTGGACGTCGAGCCGCAGGAGCAGAAGCAGTGCACACAGAGCAGCTTTTCACGCAGAAGCAGTGCATACATAGGAGAGGCGATCTCCAGCGGTCCCTGGACGTCGAGCCGCAGGAGCAGAAGCAGTGCATGCAGGGCAGCTTTTAATCCATAGGATGCTTAAAAGTATGGGATTTAACATGCATGACTAATGTATGAATCAATGTATGCATGAACTCATCGTTGTTTTTTATGCTAAATCCCTGCATGTTTGATAAATGATCCGCACGCGGAGCATGTATTAAAAACTGCACTGTATGGACAAAGTACAAAGGGAGC